GTTCTTTCACGTATTTCTTCCTGTCGGCTCTAATGCTCCTCTTCACTTGTTTGTTTGCTTCTATGTATTCAGCTTGTGCTTGGACTTTCTCTGCTCGTGTCCGGCTGTTGTTAATTGCTGTCTTCTTGTTCTTCCTTTCTTTGATCTTGTCCAGAGTTTCTATAGAGATCCACTCCTTATGATGGTGTTTCTTTAGACCGAGAACCTCTTGACACGTTGAAGTCAATGTTTCTTTGATGCCTTTTCAGTTGTCCTCCATGGTAGTTTCTTCTTCCTTCAGTAGATCCTGTAAAGCTTGGAACCTGTTGTTGAGAGCTATCTTGAATTCATTGAGTTTGTCAGTATCTCGAAGGAAGGCTGTATTGAACCTTTGTATTGCTGTTTGTCCACTTGTCCAGTTCCTTTTTAGCTTCAGTTTCAAATTGGCTACAACTAGGTGGTGATCTGAAGCTACGTCAGCACCTCTCCTGGTTCTCACATCTTCCATTGTCCTTCGGAATTTTTTATTGATGCAGATATGATCTATCTGCTTTACTGTGGTGTGGTCCGATGAGATCCATGTAGCCTTGTGTCTACGCTTGTGTGGAAATATTGTGCCTCCTATGACCAATTTGTTAAATACACATAGATTTGCAAATGTTTCTCCATTTTCGTTTCTCCCTCCCAGTCCATGTCGCCCATAATATCTTCATATCCAGTGTTTTCTATTCCGACCTTGGCATTTAGATCTCCCATCAGAATGGTGAGGTCCTTTCTTGGGCATTTCTCTATGATTGACTGCAGCCGCTCGTAGAATTGATCTTTAATGTCGTCGTTGCTATCATTGGTGGGTGCGTAACATTGGATAATATTCATTAAGATTCCCTCGTTCTTTGTTTTGAATGATGTTTTGATGATTCTAGATCCGTAAGATTCCCATCCCACAAGTGCATGCCGTTCTACTTTGGACAGCATTAGAGAGACTCCCTGAGTGTGTGGAGCATTGTCCTCTTCGTGACCGGAGTATAGCAGCATCTCTCCCGTAGCTAGCCTTTTCTGTCCAGCTTGGGTCCAGTGGATTTCGCTGATTCCCAGTACTGCCAAGTTGTATCTCCTCATTTCCATTGCTATTTGACTAGTCTTCCCGGTTTCCCACATTGTCCGGACGTTCCATGTGCCTGTAAAAATTGTTGCTCTGGTTGTTAGAAGGGGCATCGGCCTCGTGGCTTCCGAAGGAACTCGGCTTTCACCATGAAGCGTCATAATTCTTCTAAATGAAGACCTAACTCCCAGGGCAGAGTTAAAATGGTTTAGATTAGTTTTTCTGGTAAGCGTTTTTTTAGCGAGTTAGTTTTCTACGGGATGGGGACGCTAACTCCATGCCCCACCCTCCTCTTTTACCCTGGCTTGGGACCGGCAGTAACCCTATAAGAGCTACAGACGTAGTTTGAAAATATATAATATATAATTATATATATATATTTATATTATATATAATAAATGTAAATAACATTTTTGCATTTTTACATCTGAATAAGAAGACGATGAAGGTCTGGGGGCTTTATGGTCCAGGTTATCCTAGGTTGTGTTATTTTTCTCTGATTTCGGTGAATTATTTGTTTGAAACTGGTTCGTATAAAATGGATGATAATTAGTCTTATCGTCTATGGCAGAAACAGATGGGATGAAGCAGAAGTTGTTTGAGTTTTCAGTGGTGGACGAAATTGTATTTGGTTGATTATTTATAATGCATCAAGGTAAATTGTTTCCCATTAGATAATGGTGGAGTTTAGTTGTATCAACAAATTTAGGTTCATTTAAAGCTCCTATCTTATTAGTGAACTTTCTATTTGATAACCTTCTGTGGTGTAATGAGTTTGAACGTTTTAACATATGACTGTGTTGCCTTAAACGCTGTTTTTGAATCCACTCTGATTCATTTGCAAAAATGTTTTCCAAAGTGTTAGCGCTTTCCTATAGACTGTTTTCATTAAGTGCTGTATAGTCAGAAGAAGCACTATGGTTTGAACTATCTTTAGGTACGTTAGTTGATTCGCCAAACGACTTATCGTTCATCAGTTCGCTATTAGCAGATTCTGAAACAAATGATTTGTGATTTGGCGAATGCGATATCTCTAGTGCTTGACGCTTGGGTGGTGTTGAATTACCTTAAGCGGTATAGTGTGAACTCTTCCTTGGTTGGCGTTCATTCTGAACAGCTGAAATAATGAAAACTTTCGTCAACTATATATTGAAGATTTATTTGTAATATGAACGTATTGATCTAGTTGGTTATCGATTCAAAGAAACGAATTTTTTTTATTCTGTGCATTAGATCAAAGTTTTTGATCTCGTTTTTATGAACTGAGTTTTCAAGTTTCTAATTATTACTCTTTTCGATTACAAACAGTGTCACGTTTCATCTTAAAGACAACAAATCTGTCCATGAATTATTATTCATTCATCAAAAAGAGATGAAAATTGTTGAGGATTTTCTACATCAATATCGTCTCACTGTTCATTGGAGTTAAATTTTCATATTGCTTAAACGATGTTATTTTCTGTGGCATTTTACACAACAGCATTAAATGATCTACATAGTAGAAAATAACAATGATGCAGATAGTATGAGAATGTAATCGATGTTCCTATTGAATAGATTAGTTAATAAGATCATTGGTCTAATGTCACAGATCATTATTTTACTTATACCGGAGGTTTGAACTACTTTTACAATATACATCATAGTGCTTGGAACACGAACAAATGCTTTCTAATGGTACATTGATTTTACTGAACTCCTTTCGCTTTTGGATTTAAAATGATAAGAGTCGAGGTATAACAAGCCTTTTTATTTGTATGACCCATTTTGCCAAGCCACATATTGAATAGCACCCATAAAATCATTTTCATATGTAAATTTTTCCTCCTTTTCACTCAATTACTGCCAAATGTGCTTGATCATTGAATACCCGGGAATTTAACAAACTGTTAACAAAATACACTTTCTCAATACAACTGTTTACTGGTTTCTGAATATTCTCAAGTGAATTCATAGCGATACTAAGAGAATCAGCCTGCTAAGAAATACACAATTAACAAGTCATCAAATGTTTGAGTTACAAATTGAGGAAACAACATTTACAGAGAATTCAAAAGTATGAATTAGTTTAGCAGCATAATAATATGTCAAATTTTCATTCATGTAATGGTCGTTAATAAATCAAACTACGAAATTGTGACTTGTTGAAAATAATTGGGAATTATCTTTTTCCTAAGTTCGAACTCTTTTCAACGAACATGACGGTAATAATCAGTTCAGCTTATGAAAACCATGTATAATGATTGATGTTTATCGACCGAATATTTTCTCATGACTAGTCGAAAGTTCATATTAATCGTATGAGATTTACCAAATATCAGGGAATACTCATTATCCTTCGACTCACATTTATGCAACATATATGTATTAATGAATCCAGAACTATACTTCCACTCTTCATTTCTCTATCATCTTATAGTTATTATAAGTTATTTATTTGCTTTCAACTCAGTCTCATTATGTGTAACTATGATCAGCAGTATAGTAGCAAACTACACCGAATCTGAATTTATTCCCAAAGTTCATATAGCACACTAATTGAGGTAATAACTTATTATTCTACATAATGAATATAAACCATAAAATATAGCGATTTTAAATTTCCTTCTCAATAATAGTTCTGTTTATTCTGAACAGAGATTTGGAATGCTGATTTTGTATTATGACTATGGCAACAACGAAAATGTCATTAGGTTAATTGGCACAAAACCGATTCATTATTAATCTAAATTTTCAAGAAACTTTGAAAAAACCCCATAAATTTAGTAGGCTTTGAGCATCTAAGATACAGTACATTGGCTGGGTATTCTCAAATGAATTCTTCAACTATTATAGGATTATCAGTATGGGGATTTGTAGAGATTGTACTGATTTCACAATTGAATTCACGAATCAATCTAAGATAGATCAAAATTGAAAACCTGATTGCACCGGTCAACTGTTTCACACTGGTATGAGATCCCTTAGCAGTGTGATCCACGATCCCTAACACGAGACTCGGACTCAGGACTTGTCTCTACCTGATACGGATTGGAATCCACTGGTCACTGCACTACATTAGAACTCCAGAAAACACATCTTAGTACTGTTGGATGTCAGCTTAGTGGTCTAGAGATTAAACGCTCGTGCGTGGGATCGAGTCTCACGTGAGGATCGTGGATGTGCACTGCTGATGAGTCCCATGATAATACGAAACGGCTATCCAATGCCTTCAGGATTTCATTGGTGGTCTAGCTCAAATCAACTCGCAAATTCAACTGTGAAAATTTTATAGAATTAATAATAATGATTAGCGTATAAAACTTGTATACATTGACTGAATGGTACCATATTAGTTAATGAGATCATGAGAATGAGTGTCATAAATGAAGTTTCATGGACATGATTTATGGAAATTCAGCTGAAAAAGACAAATATAAAATTAGTTTATTTGAAGATGTCTATACCTGTAGATAAGTTTTTGCCTGACAGATCGTTTAAAAAAACCTTTACAACCATTACATGCTAAAATACCATAAGGTTTTTCATTGCTGATGTCACCACAAACAATAAATTACAGTCCATTATCACTGACATGGTTAATATCACAACATTTTGACGTCGATTCATGTATTCCATCCGTTAAAACTTGCTCTGAAATTGAGTCGGATTTGGGTAATCTGTATGCATCCATACGGTCATATATGCTTTATTCACTTAAATTTAAATGTTGTACTGCAAGACCTGATTGTGTAGATTGTTGTTTAATCATTGTCGGATCAAATGTTCTATTAAAAAATGGTTGAAAACCATCATTTGGAAACGTAATACCATAGTGATCACATTTTGTCGCTTTTTTACTACTTTTTAGAATCTAAATGCCAATTAAAATTTGTCATTTACCTCTGTGAAATGATTAACATGTAAACTATGTATTTGATCATATGACATATTTTATTGAAGGAGGCATTGATAGTTGACTATTTTTCATTAAATGAGATAACCATAGAATGGAAAGTAATGATGAAACGTTATAAATATAATTCATTCCTGTAGTTGATTGAACTGAAGGTGGAGCATTGAATTGATTTGCTAGAAGTATAGATATGTCTGATTTATCTTTAAGAGATGAAACTATTGAATAAATACTGTGATATGAACGTTGCATGTTCATATTTATTGGTTCACTCAATGATGATATATCAATTCATTCATTAATATGATTGTATTCTTCCTACTTTGTTGAGGTACACTTTTCACCTAGACTGAATAAATCAGTATAGTAGTACATCGTTTTTATAAATCCTTCGAGTAAATAGTAACTATTTGTTTTTAAAAACAATCAAAGGAAATAACGTTGGAAAATCAGAATTCTATTTAACAGTTTGCCGGTCAAATCGTCTACATTGATTTCCAGACAATTACTCATATACTATGAACTAACCCAGTGGGTTATTCACATATCAAATGTCCCTTAATAAACACATGTGATACATTTAATCTGAAATAGCGCGACTATTCGTCCTGAATATTTTTCAACAAAACAAACACAAGTTTTGTGTATGTTGTTTATGTTGAGTCTAAATAACGTTCAGTGCACCTGGCACGAAGACCTCAAGTTGTTTAGTTAGTTTCTCCACTGTAGGTCGTATTTCTCATGACTATCGTTGTCCCATTGTTTTTAGTTGACATTTTTTCCCATATCCTAAATTCATGTTTGTTGTTATGTATACAATGTTATTCAACTTCGTTTCTCGTTTCCATGTAATATGAAGTTTTTTGCTGTGATTCTATCGTCTTCTAGGATTCCATTGTTTGGAAATAACTATTGTTGCTTTATGTATATTATTGACCATACTATCGCGTTCAAAATACATTTTGTTCGTATTAGAATAGCTGTTTAGTCATTTTTACTTAGCAACTTCCCCGAACTGAACAAAAAATAGGATATTACAACACTACCCTATTTTAAATTGCTACTTATCAGAAATATGAAACTACATTACGACAATCTTACCAAGACCTACAAAACACGGAAAATTAATAATTTAGGTAGATGGATTAAACCCCTGTGTAAAATTAAGTCAGTATTGACCAAATTACACTTGTGTCAGTAATGTGTATAAGCGCACATTCATCACGACGCTTTAATTTATAATTAAACAATATTTTAGCGCTTTATTAACTAGTCATTAACTTGTCCTTGAGAATAAGATTACTTTGTTTGTCTAGTAAACACGTGAACTATGCTATTAAAGGTCATAAGTATTAACATAACATGGCTAGCAAATCACTACAATAGAAATATTCCGTCCTTGACTGTATATATTCGATTTATTCAACCGTAATTATCCATAGCTCTATATTTATCGGAAAAGCTGGCGTCACTCAGAGTAATTACACATCACTATAGTTTGCAAGCTATAAACAGCTATTTATTCAGTTGCTCAGATAGCGAAATGTGTGATGAACAATGATTTCTAGTTGAATTCCTTTTATATCATGCTTTACCATTTAAGATTCATTTTATAAGCATCTGAGAAACAAAATTTCATCACAAATAATAACTATTGAAGCTTTACTCCTCCAAAGTTTGCTTTAGATATACAAAACCAGTATACTAAGTAATAGTTTCTTGGGATTTTTTAAATAACCATATGAATTATGTTTTACCGATTAAATTCCTATTTTTGACGAAAGATAACATTATCGGTCTTATATATGTTCTGAATTGCATAAGCAGTTACACAAAGGTTAGATGTAGTTGCTAGTTTCGACTGTGTGGACATGTGTGGTTACACTGCATGATTTATCCAAAAGTTTTCCGAACATAGTATTTATATTTCTGTTAATTTACTTACATAGATGCAGAATAGTACGCAAAGCGTATATGCGAAACTGGATCTACACCAGGAACGAGTGGATAATCTGAGTCAAGGAAGCTAATCTTTTTGAAAAATGTACTTAAACATTCATCATACACGAGTTAATATTTCCTTTTTTTAAAAACCATATTCAGGATTCCAGAACTGCTGCCAAAAAATAACAAACAGACAAACTATTTTGATCACATTGCCGTATATTTATGGATTGATATAGTGTTGAAATGATGCACTTCTGCAGTAGACACTCGAAAACCTGTACTAATCCAGAAACTTTATATAAATTCGGAAAAGGTTAATTTATAAGTCATGATGCTTCTGTCTCATAGCAAATAAAAACTAAGAGTAAAATGTTTTAATATCTCAAGATCCATATCAGTTTAACATATGACTGGAACTCGAACTTGACCAATCGGAAATAACCAGAAAGTTAGTGAACCATTTCAATCTTACATTTCAAATACAGTAACGAATGCTCTACACAAATAAAATTTATATTTGTAGACTGAAGGTTTGATTCCATGATTTCATGATGATGATGATGATAATAAGATAGTGTATGTTCTAAACTTGTCAGGGCATTTCAATGTTAGTTTAAAATAATCATAAAATAAACAAAGAAGAAAGTAATCTTCAGGCAAAAACAAAATACCGGTAGATAGTGTCACAGCCAGCATCAGGGTGGAGCAAACTGAATATCACGTGATCAAGCTTAATGCCTAGTAACGGGGCTCCTAACCACGTGGACTTGAGGTGCGAACTGTTACGGGAGAACTGAAGACTTTTGACGGATTAAAACATTTTATTGTACATTAATCATTTACTGTGCTTTTGGATGTAATTGTTTTACTTAACTTTCGAACTTGTTTCTTTATATCTTTATTTCGGACGTTTTGGTTTGTCTTTGGTTTGGTATTTTGGTGCTCTTTTTGTCTTTGGTTTGGTATTTGGGAGTTTTGCTCAGGGAACCTACAAAATTGAAGAACGACATTTGGTCGATTATTTGTGAATTACGAATAAATTTGGTATCTAAATTGGAAATTGGTTCTGTTGTTAATTTGGGTTCGTAATTTGCAACTAGATCGATAGTCCGTACTTCAATAACTGGAACAAGCAAAACTTGGACGTAACATAAAGTTCTTCAATTATTGGTTCTGTGTTTATACCTTGGATCAATCTGGACAGTAATTTGGACCCAAATTCCTGGTCTTATTTGTCGATTTCGTTTGGATTAATTCAGATGTTTTTTGGTAATTGATTATTTGGAACAACGATAACGATGGAAACACGGAGCAGAAGGCTGAAGGAAAATGTTGAAATGGATTGTAAAACTTCCAAAGCTGTTTGTGGTATGTCTGATGTTAATGATGATAAATGTGATGATGTTAGTCTTAATAGTATGTCCTCTAGCCAGCTAAGTACTTCCAGACTCAAGTTAGATAAAGCATTACTGAGGAAAAGGTATTTAGAGGAGAGACTTGAATTAGAACGGCAACTTAAGATGTTAGATCTACAAAAGGAGGTTGATATCGCTGAACTAGAATGCAAGGCTACCGAGGACGATGAACGATTACCCGTAGATAAATGTGGGATAAATGCTAAAGTGGAAAATTATTTGGATTGTGATATTGGGTGTAATAATCACTCAGGCGTGGTATGTAACATCTCAAAAGTCGATTGGGTTGGTGAGCTGAAGAACACGTTACATACAATAGTTAGTAACATGGTTTTACCAAAGATCGATATGATGTACTTTGATGGACAACCGGGTCAGTATTACCGTTTTATTAGTCAGTTTAATAGCCTTATAGAAAGTAAGTTGTCAGATAAGGGCCAGTTGTTGTCGTATTTGTTATATTATTGCAAGGGAAAGGCCAGAACAGCAATTGAATCTTGCGTTTTTTTGCCCAGTCATTTGGGCTGTAATAGGGCTAAACGAATTTTGTATGATTTATTTGGTAAAGAACATCTTGTTGCACGAGAACTAATTATTGAGTTATTAAACCATAAACCTGTCGGAGGATCGGCTGACGTATTAACTGACTTTGCGATTAAGTTGCGTAATGTATGTATAACGTTGAAGCAAATGGGATATATGTCTGACGTTGATTCTACGGCTAATTTGGAGGTAATAGTTTCATGCCTACCACTAGAATTGCAGAATAAGTAGGTGGAAGTCGCTGATAAGATCATGATGCACGGGAAGGAGCCGAGCTTTGAAGAATTTGTGATCTTTGTGGAAGAGAGGGCCAGAATTGCTCGAACTCGTTATGGTAGATTAGTACAGTGTAACACAAAGTTCGGTTAAAAGAATTCTGAAGGCCAAGCTGGTAGGAGATCACTCTTTCATGCAATTAAACGAGACCCGAACAACTCAGTCAAGGTTTCGTGTTGTGAAATCTGCTTAGGTGATCATGAGGCGAGGGGTTGTCCAAAGTTAGCAAAAATGAATGTGAGAGAAATAAGACAAGAGATAAGAATGTGCGGTTTATGTTATTTATGTTTGAGGAAAGGTCACATAGCTATGTCATGCAATTCAGGGTTCAAGTGCAACGTTGAGAATTGCAAGGTTCGGCATAATTCATTATTGCATATTGATAGTATTGATAACCATGTGTTGAACCTAGCTAAGGATTGGAACTCTTCAAAGGTTTGTTTGGGGATCTTTCCAGTCAGACTATACGGTCCCAAAGGATGTTTGGAAACATATGCACTTCTAGATAGTGGTTCGGACACTTCTCTTGTATGTGAAGAATTAATTAATCAGTTGAGTATCAAAGGTAAAGAGACTTCGATAAGGGTGGCGACTGTGAACGGAACTACCAATTGTGATTGTTTGGAGTTAAATTTAGAGGTATTTTCATTAGATGAACGGGGTTCTGTAAGGATCAACAAAGTTTACACGATCAAGAAACTTCCGATCGATCATGCAACACCTTTAACCGAACTCCAACTGAAACGGTGGAAACATCTAAAGGACATAACCCTTCCAAAGTTGCAAAGTAATTTTGTAGGAATATTGATTGGGTGTGATGCTCCGGATGCACATTGGGTCCTGGAACAACGTCTCGGGGACAGGAAGCATCCACTTGCTGTGCGTACTCATCTTGGTTGGATGATTATAGGTCCTAAGAGAGTATCAAGGTCTCTACATCAAGTTCATTGGTGTCATTGTTCCACTAATGATATTTTGCGAGATTCAGGAAGATTATATGATCATGAGTTCGAGGATACAAATAGGTTTTGTAATGGATATCCTGTCGAAGATAAAAAAGCTCTAGAAATA